ACCTTTGCCCTCATTTCCAGCCCCAATATGGCTGCGGCGACTTCGGAAAAGGCATGCAGGGAAGGGCACACACACGCACGCAGCATATGAACTACCGTCTCTACTTACACGCACACGCACACAGTGTATGTAAAGTTCATATATAAACGTGTACACATGTATACATATACTTTATATATCCATGTATGTTTGGATTCATAAATGTCTGTTTCTATGTAAATAAACATGCCTACATGTACAAATATACATGCTTATGTGTATCTATCATTTTTTCTTTCGCAAAATAATGTGCGTGTTGACACATACAAGAAGCCCACTACATACAAGTATATGCATGCATCCCATATATCCGAAGAGAAACAGACAGACAACCGGATTGACAGATGATTCAACTTCCCCGATCAGACCACCCAGCAATTTATAGGACACGCCCATTTTCCGCCTGCGCTTCTATCGACCCCGCCCCCAACGTTTAGTCTGCATGGGACAATAAATCTTAGTTATAAACCCTAATATATTTTGGAGGTCCATCTTGATACATCTTGGTGTCTAAGCTTGATGTATCCTGATATGGTTTTGGTGTATATCCTAACGTGTCCGTGGTGTATATTGTAATGTATCGTTGGTGTTTCTTCTAATTCCTCTTTGGTTTGTATCCTATTATATTCTTGTTGAATATCATAACCTATACTTGCTTTTTAATACATCATTTTTATATATCAACGCATCTTCTCTCTCTCTCTCTCCTCTCTCTCTCCTCTCTCTCTCTCTCTCTCTCTCTCTCTCTTCTCCTCTCTCTCTCTCTCTCTCTCTCTCTCTCTCTTTCTCTCTCTTTCTCTCACTCTCACTCTCACTCTCACTCTCACTCTCACTCTCACTCTCACTCTCACTCTCACTCTATTTCTACCTCTCTCTATTTCTACCTCTCTCTATTTCTACCTCTCTCTATTTCTAACTCTCTCTATTTCTAACTCTCTCTATTTCTAACTCTTCTCTCTATCTCTAATCTCTCTACTCTCTCTATCTCTCTCTCTCTATCTCTTACTCTCTCTATCTCTTACTCTCTCTATCTCTACTCTCTCTATCTCTTACTCTCTCTATCTCTTACTCTCTATCTCTCCCCTCTCTCCTCCCCTCTTCTCTCTCTACCTCTCTCTACTCTACCTCTCTATCTCTACCTCTCTCTATCTCTACCTCTCTCTATCTCTACCTCTCTATCTCTAACTCTCTCCCCTCTCTCTATCTCTACCTCTCTCTCCCCTCTCTCTATCTCTAACTATCTCATCTCCCTCTCTCTCCCCTCTCTCTATCTCTAACTCTCTCTCTCCCTCTCTCTATCTCTAACTCTCTCTCCCCTCTCTCTATCTCTAACTCTCTCTCCCCTCTCTCTCTCTCTCTAACTCTTCTCTCTTCTCTCTCCCCTCTCTATCTCTAACTCTCCTCTCCCCTCTCTCCTATCTCTACAACTCTCTCTCTCTCTCTCTCTATCTCTAACTCTCTCTCTCCCCTCTCTCTATCTCTAACTCTCTCTCTCCCCTCTCCTCTCTCAACTCTCTCTCCCCTCTCTCTTATCTCTACCTCTCTCTCCCCTCTCTCTATCTCTACCTCTCTCTCCCCTCTCTCTATCTCTACCTCTCTCTCCCCCTCTCTCTATCTCTACCTCTCTCTCCCTCTCTCTATCTCTACCTCTCTCTCCCCTCTCTATTCTATCTCTATCTCTCTCTCTCTACCTCTCTCTCCCCTCTCTCTATCTCTACCTCTCTCTCCCCTCTCTCTATCTCTACCTCTCTCTATCTCTACCTCTCTCTCCCCTCTCTCTATCTCTACCTCTATCTCTCCTCTCTCTATCTCTACCTCTCTCTCCCCTTCTCTCTTCTCTCCTCTCTCTATCCCTCTCCCTCTCTCTTCTCTCTCTCTCCCCTCTCTCTATCTCTCCTCTCTCTCCTCCCCTCTCTCTATCTCTAACCTCTCTCTCCTCTCTCTCTCTACCCTCTCTATCTCTAACTCTCCTCTCTCTTCCTCTCTCTATCTCTTACCTCTCTTCTCCCCTCTCTCTCTCTCTCTCTCTCTCCCCTCTCTCTCTCTCCCCTCTCTCTATCTCTCCTCTCTCTCCCTACTCCTTCTCTCTCTACTCTCCTCTCTCTTCTCTCCTCTCTCCTTCCCCTCTCCTCTATCTCCCTCTCTTCTCTCTATCTCTCTACCTCTATCTCTCCTTCTCTACCTCTCTCTATCTCTACCTCTCTCTATTCTACCTCTCTCCTACCTCCCTTACCCTCTCTTCCTCTCTCCCTACCTCTCTCTCTCTCTACCTCTCCCTCTCTCTCTTTTCTCGCTCTCTCCCTCTCTCCTCTTTCTTCTCTCCCTCTATCTCTCTTCTCTCTCTCCCTCTATCTCTTTCTCTCCCTCTCCTCCCTCTCTCTCCATCTCATCCTCCTCCCTCCCCTCTCCCTCCCCCTCTATATCTTCCGTAAAAAAATACCACAGCTTCTCTCCCATTATAACAAACAATCAAATAATCAAACAGACAAACTAACAAACAATCAAATAATCAAACAGACAAACAAACAAACAAATAAAATGGTGTTTCCACTCCTCTATCGCGTACCTTGGAAGCGAATCACGTGACAGCCCTACATGTACACGTCACTGCAAAAGAAAAAAGGAAATCATATTAGAGGACTTGGCTCCAGGGAGAGAGGGAGAGATAAAAAATGAAAGGGGGAATGGAAAAGGCGAAGGAAAGAGGGGAAAGGAGTGAAGGGAAAGGAGTGAGGGGGAGAGGAGAGGGAACGAAAATATGAGAATAAAGTGGGGAGTGAAGAGAGGAAGGGAGGGAGAGAGAGAGGGAGATAGGGAGGGAGGAGGGAGGAGAAGAGGGAGAGGGAGAGGGAAGGAGAGGAGAGAGAGAGAGAGAGAGAGAGAGAGAGAGAGAGAGAGAGAGAGAGAGAGAGAGAGAGAGAGAGAGAGAGAGAGAGGAGAGAGGGAGAGAGAGAGAGAGAAAAGCGTAGAGTAAAAGGGAAGGAAGGAAGAATAATAAAGAAAAAGAGAAATAATGGTAATAACAATAATAGTAACAACAACAACAACAATAGCAATGATTCTCCAGAATGATAAAATCCCCTCCGCTCCAGAATGATAAAATCTCCTTCCCCAGCCGATGTCATTTCCCCCGTCGCCGTTCACTCTCTTACGAATGACGTCACAAAAATACGTCCTGGAGGAGGGCGGCGTAACGTA